AATCGAGCAAAACAACACCTGACTCACATTACTGTGGGATCAAAGACAAAACTCGTGAACGATGCTCCTGCAGATACTTTACCGAAACAGGCAAAAGGTGCTCGGGTCTCTGGGCATTGTACTGCTTTCACACTTGTGGCTCCTCCGAAAAGTATTCTAATGGTGTCACGGCAAACGAACTGCGACTGCAGACTCGAGCTATACAGCTACAACGACGGTTAGGAGAGATATCTTATCCATTGGATCAAGAAGACCTTGTTGCCTATTGGGGACATGACCCTTCGGAGCCTGTGTGGCATGATTGGTCCTCCGAGCAGCCTCCGAAACAGGGCAAGCTCATCAGCATTGATAGTGCCAACCTTGATTTTGTCGAGCCCGATTCGCCCATTACCCGCCGAAACCGATTCCTCAACCATGCTGGCGACCATCCCTCAACCACTGCTACGTTACCGGTTTCAAGACCAGAGGCTGATAAGGGTGGCCGTCCAGCAGCTCACCGCCCTCTGCATCCTTATCGCCAAAAGACAGCCCCCACAAAAGCTGGCATTCCTCGGGACGCACTACCACCACGAGATCGACCTGTTGGAGCAAAGAATTATCTTCAATCCTGTTTTGCTCTGTCGTTGTTCCATATTGTCTTCCGAATCCCAGCCTTCGTGTCCGCATTCAACGATGCTAATGACGCTCTCAGGCCTCACGCACCTTCTTTGATTGTGTTACTAGGTGACTTTCTTAAAGCCATTTCGGTAACTAGACGGCTGGTGGATCTGAAGGACATTGTACCAATCCTCCGAAGTGAGTTCCCTTCCTCCATCATTGCTGCCAATCAGCATGTTCATTTGCTGATATGCAGGTGAGAACTTGATAGATGAAGAATCTCAGCATGATCCGTGTGAACTGTTTCTCAGAATGACAAGCAAATTCAATCAGATCATTGAACAGAACCCGATTCGGAACACATTCGAATTCGGAGTAACCTGGGAATATGTCTTTCAGCCCTGTTCCCACGCAGTCCCTGTCAGGCAAGAGACATCCTCACTGGAGAAGCAGATGGCCGTTCTCCAAATCTATCCACATGGCTCATCACTTAACCTCATCCAGCTCATGAACCTTTCATTGTGGCGTTCATGCAGTCCCCAACATTGCTTTTCGGTACCATGTGATGGACGAATGGCCGTCACTCGAGCACGAGCCAAGATGTCCTTGGAATCCAACAACCTGCCCCGCATGTTACTCCTCAACATTGTCTGGGATCTCCGAAACGCCTCTGCACACCAAGTGATCCACCCTTTTGACATTCCCGAAACTATCAACCCAGCTCAGGTTTCGGCCGTACCTCCTCCTATACTCCCGAGCAATCTTCCAATGTACAGATTGAAGGGAATGCTCTGCCGAAAGGGGGACACCGTGCAGGTGACCAGTGGACACTATGTGGCTTTGATAAAGCATGATGATGTGCTGTGGGAGATTGACGACGAAAAAACCTCTCGTATGTTTCTGAACCGGGACGCTTTCGGTGGTACACGATTCCCGGTCTTGCTGTTCTATACACTGGAAGATGAAGTCAAGCCATCAGCAAGTCAACCCATTGCCAAAAAGAGACGACTGAATAAGCCAAGTGGGAAAGCAATGTCAAAATCGGCTTCGAATCCTGAAATACCAAAAGCTGAAGGCCCAACACTGGAAGCACCAAACCCCCAACCTCCCGTTTCGGACGCCATACCAGCTAATTCTTCAAATTCGGAGCTGCCAACTTCGGCCCCGCCAACGCTTGAACCTCCGAATTCGGGAGATCCGAAAGTTCCTCCTCCAAACCCAACGGAACAAGAACCTGCCCCAGTTGATGTCCAGTCCACAAGCTTGGCGCCCACCAGTACCCCTACAGACCCCACCGCTTCTCAGCCCAATGTTCTTCCCACAGTTTCTCAGGGTACCATCCCTCCGAAGCCTACACATATTTCTCCACCTGGTGATGAACCTCCCGAAAGCGGGCCTTCCTCGAGCAACATCCTGTGCCAAACCAACACACCCCAGGGTGAATCGGCTCCCCGCGATCAAGCTATCAGTCTCAATCCCACTGTAGCTTCTCAAGACATTACAGCAGAACCAGATTCCCCATCATCATCCATGGACATTGATCCTCCAAGTGTCTTTCCCACTGTTGAACGCTCTCCCTCACCCGAGGTTCCCCAGTACTGTCAACTAGAAAAGGCTCAGTCAGTCATTGCCGAAAGACTAGCACAAGTTCAGTGGCGTTCGGGAGAATCCTTTCAACCTCTCATCTCCGTCAGCACATTTCAAGATGTTGATAGCCTTTCGGACGATCTCCTTGAGGACCTGTGCGACCAGATGGAAGCTACATTTCATGACATGGCCGAAGATGAGCATAAGGGCTTGAAGCTGCAGGGTGTAGACTCCACATTTGGGTCAAAAACGTTGCGTAAGTTCTACGGAAGGAATGAGTGGTACACCAATTTCGGAATCGATGATATCTTGCTTTCGGTGTCAGCTTTCATCCGAAATTGTGTGAATCTGGGGATTGGAATGTCTGACCCCATACCAAACTCATTTGTTTACCGAACCCTAGCTGCTGGTGACAACTGGAACCCATACATACCTGGAAGTACGCCATGGCCTTCTCTCGGCAAGGACGGGCAATGGAGGAAAGAGAACACAGTTGGGTGTCACGAAGTGACAAGACAGTTTGATAGTGATAGTGATAGGATGGGTTGGGTATTTAACCAGCGACCGGCGGTATGCAGTAACCGCCGGTTAATAGGCCTTTTAGCACAGTGGTTTAGACCGCTGCCTCTGAAGGAATCTGTCACGAGACCAACTAACCAGCATTGGGACGATATAACAGTGCCCTTCAGAGGCAGCGGTCTAAACCACTGTGCTAAAAGGCAGATTAACCGGCGGTTACTGCTAGGATCCTGGGTTCCACTCCCAGGGTGGGCTGGGTCAAATTCAGTCCCTACTTGGAAAACCTCCCTCTCGGAGAAAGTTTTCGGCCTATCGTACCCTTCCCTGTTGGGGCCCCAGATGGGGCTGAAAGGGAAGGCATAATGTCACGAAGTGACAAGACAGTTTGATAGTGATAGTGATAGGATGGGTTGGGTATTTAACCAGCGACCGGCGGTATGCAGTAACCGCCGGTTAATAGGCCTTTTAGCACAGTGGTTTAGACCGCTGCCTCTGAAGGGCACTGTTATATCGTCCCAATGCTGGTTAGTTGGTCTCGTGACATTGGGGTTCTGATGTCGAGGTCCCATTTTGAGACACTGGTAATCTTTGGGCCACAGAAGCTGGTGTTGATGTATGATGGGGCAGGGGGGACGTATGATTCGGCCGAACAGAAGAAGGTAAGTTGGTCATTCAAAATTACTTCGATGAGGTGCAGCGTCACTGATCAATAGCAATGGTCACGCCTGCTAGAACGCCGTTTGTCCTGGGAAGTCAGAAAAGGCATAGCAACAGAGGCTGAAGCTATGGGTTGGTTGATTGCTCCAAATTCTCAGGTGAGTACAGTGCTACTCCCAAGCTCAATGATGACGTCCAGGCTACCAGGGATAACCTGGACTGGGTTACACAAGTGGACTCACACAGCTGTGGTCCTCTAGCATGTGCCGCTGCATGTCTTCTTCTCCAGGGAATCAGACCGACTGCTTCTGTGCTTGGGGTGAAATCATCAACTCTGGCTAGAGGTGAGAGTAGAAAACTACGAACAAGTGTGCTTCAACTGGTGCTTGCAATGGCTGCACGGGATCCAGCAAATGAGTCTATATTCAGTCCGAAAGTGAAAAAATTGATGGACAAGTGTGTACCTTCCATGACTTACTACATAGATCGCCTGTAGAGAGGTATCACAGCTGGTTGTGCATGAATATAATGACTAATATACCTCTGGATGTAAAAATACACTTGGTTTGATGCAGATTGGGGCTTGATTATCTTTCCCAAGTGAGTCCGAAGGCACTCCCGAAACACCGAAAACCCCTCCGAATCTTGTTGCAAAATGCCCAAAACATGCACCTATGCTAGCTACCCTTGTGCATCGGTCGAATTCCTCCATTGTTTCCTAGCAGGTGCAGTCCTCCTGGACACACAATATGCCAGGTTTATAGACTTGCCCAATGAAGTTGAGCATACCTTGTCTCATAACCAAATTCTGCAGCTCATACACTAATCTGCGAAGTCGGTCAACCAACTATGAAGCCATAGCCACATGAAACAGGTATTCACACATATGAAAGTGCTCTGTAGACATGTCTCTTTAAAAGCAAAGTAGTGGGCAATCTAGCGAAATTCAGAGGGGGGGTTGGTGACTCCCTGGATTGAAGCCTCAAATATGGACAGAACTCTTGGAAGGGATCAAACTTCCTAAGATGTCAAGCACATCCAAGGGGGTCTATTGCCTGCAAAGACATACTTTCAGGTGTCTAGTCTCATCCCGTACACATGGGCGAAGAAGCGAAATCCATGTGGGACAGTGGTGGCCTCTTAACTGTGTTCCTCAGATAATGGGCATAAGGTGCCGAAGCAATAAGCCATTCCTCTGCTTCAAGCACATCTGACCATCTCATGTATTCGAATATTGTACTGCTCAAGGTCACTAGTGATTGTGTCTACCCAGTGCTTATTTCAATAGTCATAAGCTCTCTTGCAGTGATATATGCAGCCATGACTGTCCGAAATTGGTCAAGGCTGTCCGAAGTCGGTCCGAATTTTGGGGACAATTAATCCTACTACAAGGATCTCTCGCTTACTGACACAAGAAACAGTGAAGTATCTCTTGCAGGGATGTATGCAACATGAGCCAGGCTGGAAGAGTTCAGACATGGAATGCATTACACAGGCTAGTTCACACACAGATGAGACATTTGGACCCCAAACACAGAAAGACCGAAACATGAAATGAAAACACCGAAACGGAAACTCGCCAAAATGAACAACTGACAGTACATACAAGGGAACTGTGACACGGATTTGTTAGGCTACATTTAATCTTGAGAAGAATGGAGGTCTGCATTTGTGGGGATTGTGGGAATGGCAACATGACGTGTTGGTCCTGAAGAAAGTACATTTTCGGAGTTTGAAGGGTCGTTTTCGGAATTCGGTGCGGTACTTTCGGAGTTTCGAGCGGTGATCTTGGTGGAAGGGAGATCAAGACTGTGAGCTCTTCTTCGGTCAGAGTACTCGTTCGGCTTCGCAGGGGAGGTCCTAAGGTCAAAGCGGAATTGTTGCCGAGACTTTTCTTGTTTGGCCTCTTGGAGTTCTGACTCAAGTTGCCTGATGGTGTAGTTGGCCGATTCGATATCCTCTTGATCCGCTTGAAGGTCCGCCCGTAACTGCTCATTTGCTCCTTCCAACTGCTCTTTGAGTTCCTTCAACCCTACATTCTCCATCTCAGTCTCATTTTGCAGGGCAGCGGTAATTTGCACAAACTGCAATGCCTCGTCGATTTGCTGTTGCATTACCCCCTTAGCTGCTTCAGCCTCCGAAAGCCGAGCTCGGAGAGTTTCCAATTCGGCGTTTTCCTCCTCATTCATCTGTCTGGCCAAATCTGAACACCTCTGTTCAGCAAACTGACGAGCCTGAGCCTCCTTTTCCTTATCCCCCATTGCACTAGCGAACCTCTGGCTCATAGTCTTGAGCCCTTCCTGAGTCTCCTCCAACTGCTTTCGGATTGAAGCAATTTCGGCGTCCTTTTCGGCGGTGACTCGGGCAACAGCATGATCTCTCTCCTCATTCTTATCAATCTGCTCTTTGTACAGCCGGTCCAGTGTCTTTACCTCTCCTTGAGCCACATCTCTTTCAGAAACCACCGAGTCATACCGTGCTTTGAATTCGCTCCATGTTCCATTGATAGCTCTCACACCCGAAAGTGATTGTGTGACACTTTCGGAGTAGGCTTGATGCCGTCCTCGGTTGATTTCTCGGTAATAGTCTATCATTTCGGAAACTTGAGCGACCATTCGGGAAGAGAATTGCTCCTCAAACTGGGCCTGAGTCTCTTGAAACTCACTCATACGATGCAGACACTGTTCAACTTCGGGCATGGTAGACGGTGGAGCCGGGATGTAAGGGACAACCTTTTCGGGTGCAGGCTGGTCCAAAGAAGGGACAGTGGGCCTTTCGGTCCGAAATTCGGGCTGGAGTGGTGGGTTCATTTGAGGGAGTTTACTGACCACATTGACCGAAGTGACAGGAATGGAGGGTATCTGACCTGGCAAAGCTGTGGGACCAGAGCCAACGAATTCTGAATGAGAACGAATGAGAGAAGTGGGAGGTGGAGTCTGAGGGGGAGCCGATTGGGAAGCAAATATTGGAGGAACTATGGGTTTCGGAGCCATCGTGGGTTTCGGAACATTGGTTGATGGGTTCGGACCAGGAAGACTCTGCACACCTGATCGACCCAGGCGCTTCTGCTGTAGCCACTGCTTTACCTCTGCAAACGTATGTAGTGAGGTAGGTAGTGGGGAGATTTGGGGAGGGCCAGAGAGGAGAGAAGAAGACCCAGGTTGAAGGTTTGGAGGAGGGCCTGCTTTCGGAGCAGGGGAGGGGCTGGGGAAGGGGGCCGGTGTGACACTTTTAGCTTTGTGAGGCGAAGGGATTGTTGGTGATTCTTGCAAGGTAACACCCAAAACCGTCTGTGTTTGTGCTATAAATGGGTCTAGAGCAGAGGGAACGGCCTGTTGTCGAACAGATACGGCAGGAGAAGGAACAGGACCAACAGGGGACATTGTGGGCACCTTTTTGGAGGTAAGATCCATTTTGGGCCGGGGAGGACTTTGTTCAACGGAGAACGGACGAGCCCGTTTCGGTTCGGGCTGGGACTCGTCTACATCCTCCAGGGCACGCTTGTTCACAGGAGGATGAACAGGACTACTTTGGACAAGTATGGGAGAGATCCCAGCTGGCAAACCTGCAGAGAAAACGGGGGGGGGGCGGTTTCGGAGGGTTCCTTTTCGGGAACAACATCGGCAAATTTTGGAGGGCGGGGAGGGAATCGTGGCCTTTCATTTCGGGCTGTAGATTGTTCCGGTTGAGGTCTTTCTTCTCCATCATCTTGACCCAAGCTGGAATCTTGAACAAGAGTAGGACCAGCTGGAGAAGAAAGTTCTGTTTCTCCCTAAAAGTCAGCTGCTGAGACTTGCTTTCGGTTCGGAACTTAGAAAACTCACCTCCGAACGAGTTTGCTCTCTAGCAGACGTAGGCGCTTCGGTGAGGGGTTTCGGAGAAGGTCTGACAACCCATTTCGGATGGGATTTTGCAGCAGCCCCAGCTGCGACAGTGCCTCCCCTAGCAGTCCTACGCTTGTCCTTCGGTCCTACCGGTTCCTGCAGTGGCGCATTTGAGAACCCAATCGCCGTGGAAGCTGCAGGGGGAGCTTTTTCTTTTCCCTTTCCTTTTCCTTTTTCGGGAGGGGGGGGAGAAACCGATTTCTTGGGAGCCGAAGCTCTTGTAGAGCGTGTTGTGGTGGCTGGCCGGCGAGGTTTCCGAGGGGAGGGATGTGGTGAATGTTCAGAGTCCGATGAGTCCGAATCAGAATCCGAGCTTTCCTCAGGCTTGTCCTGACCTTGTGATGACTTTTTCGGCCGTTTTTCACTTTCGGAGGACTCTTCGACAAGAAAATTGGTCGGCTTGCCCTTGAGGGAGCAGGTGAGAGGGGGCTTTGTGGAGTTATAACAGTGGACACAGACACGAAACTTTCCTTCGTCCCAACGGTTGAGAAACACTGGTCGACCATCAGGTACATTGACACATTTCACTTCGGGATGCCTGAGATCAGCATTGAGTTTCGTTAATTTCTCCCGAATTCGGGAGCCATATTTGACAAAGAGATACTCACGTGTAATTGAAAGCCGAAACACAAAACTGGACATGACAGTTTGGCTTTGTGGCCGACTCATCCGCCGAATAGCATCGTGACCCTCTAGTAATCGCCCGAATACCCTCTTCCTTCATTTGTTTCGGGGTAGCTTCCCGAAGACCTAGCTTTTCAGCATGCTGAGGAAGATACTTCGGCTCTGCATGCCACCAGGGCTGGAGGTAGAACCCTATCTCAGCTTGAAAAGAACGAAGTGATTTCTCACTCTTCCAAATGGGGTGTTGTGGCTGAAGATACTTTTGGAAGTGAACATGGTCGGGGTGTAATTTGTAACCTTTCGGAGGGTTTACACTGGATTTATCTGTTTTTGAGTCGAAGGGGTTTGGCATTTTGAGAAAGAGGTCAAAGAGGTCAGAGAGATTGGGAGGAAGGGGGAGTGGAAAGACTCTAATTTTGATGATAAGATAATTTGGACGAGCCAAGGGGGAAGGTGAGATGAAGCACACAGATGCAGAATGAGCAGTGAGATCAGTTGAGAGTGAGCAGTGGAGAGCAGATGAAAAACGCTGGCTAATGTAAGCTGGAAAAAGATATGAAGATGCTGAAGAGAAGTGAAGTGAAGTGAAGAGAAGAACTGAATGGAAGGAATGAAAAACGGGGAAAATCGCGTCAGCCCGTGTTGGTACTTAGTAGAAGTTCAACCAACCCCATCACCATCAGAAACACGTCAACATGATGGATCCTTGCTAGGATTTTGTGCATTCAATACCATGCATGTGTTAACATGAATACCATGCATGTGTTAACATGAATATAAAGATACACGCATAGAATCAGGTATCCACTTGGGTAGATTGCTGGTCAGTAGTGAGTATGTGACTATGACCGAAAGCCCCCGAATTCTGCCGAAAGGGGACCGAAAAGCAAAGTGCCATTTCGGGTTCGGGACATTGCCCCTTCCCCTGGGGTCAATACTCCGAAAGATGTTCCGAAAATGGTATGAATAGACTCAGAAGGCGTCAGGCATTCCAATGATATCAGAAAAGCCACGGAAAGATGATTTTTTAATAGTGAAGGTATTTGGGTCAGTAGTGACGGGATATGGGAGTTGAACGTCGTATTTTGGGAGAAAGTGGCAAAATTTCGTCGGGATTAATTCGAGTTCCGTCGGGATTATCCAGTTTTGCTCACTCGACTCTTTCTTCAGTCAATCTCAACATCATGCCGTGGCAGAAGACATTGTGAGTACTTCGTAATCACGAAGACAAATACAAAGTATTTCATCATCTGACCGTTCTGTACTCTTCCCCCGAATCGCAAAGGGATGCATCTCATCACCGATGTCATTCTACGTGAATGTGCTCAAGGACTAAAAGATGTCTCCGTAGGTATCTTTACCTTGAACTGTCTTCATACATCTGCTGGACTGACCGTGAGTCATTTGGTTCAGTCGTATCTCTCCTCGACTAACTTCTGAGGTTAACGAAAACTGTGATCCGTAAGTTATCACAAACCCCGTTGACCTGCTTTTCTGATTTACTTCAGCTCAGTTCGATCAGGTATGTAAATGCTTCTCTCTCTTCTCTCCACAAAGGGTAACTTAATCAATGCTAATTTGAAGATATGGATATGGCGTGAGAATCTTCTGTGCCTCGTGGGATGTTTCTGAACCAAAAGACTTGACACCGTGGTACCGGAATCGCTACCTTGGCAACACACGGATGAAGGACCGGAGTGGGTTATTATTTCAATGCTATCATTGGTCACCTCATGCTGAAATATCAGTGATTCGGTTTCCCATCTGAAGACATCTCTCATTGGCAACAGTATCACTCTACCTATCTCAGCAGGTAAATTGCATCTTGGAACGTGTGTAATCCTTTCTCCCCTCTCGACTTCCACTGACTAGGACAGCTGGCAAGGCATCTATCTAGCAGAATTCAGACATTCTGGCGGCGGGTGGGGTTCAGCAGGCTCAGGACGAAAAGTCGTGGCTACTATTCTGTGAGCACCAGACTCCACACATATGAGCCTTACCTGACATTCCAGTCCATGAGAGGTCCTGGGCATTTGCCGGTCTGCTGTCGGCAGCTTCCAGTTTCTCGCAAATCTCGCAAGATGAGCACCATTATCTGGTACTATGCATGGATGTCATGATGATACTGAGTCAACCGATTATCTCTTCCTCTTTCCGGCTGGCGGTGATTTGACCTCCCACTTTTCTCGCTGTTCACTAGCCCACATCCGTAGCAACCATTCCTCACATTCTCGTTTGGTGGCGCCAGGGTTGTCCAATTGCCATTTATTCATGTCGACTCGGACTGCCTGGATAGTCGGAGACGGTCGAATATTGAGCAAAGTCTGCACCTCGTTGCCCTGTTCATCAGCTCTGACAGTGTAAAGGGGCTCACATTTAGTAAAGGTTCCTCTGATACAGATTCGGGCAACTTTAGATCGACGATACGACGTCGGAACTCGAGAAAGTCATTCAGGATCCCGCGAGCCTGATCTTCCAGTCTACCCGTCCACACAGGTAGGATCGCTACGACCGTAGCCCAAGTCAAGGCTCGTTCCCACGGTTGATTCCTCTGCATCGCCATGCCTATTTCCGATCGTGATCGCAGGGTCGGGTTCAAGAGCGGGGCATGGAGGAAAAGGTTGACGATTGCGTTTTTGACGTCATTCGATAACTGGGTGTCAGCCTGAGATACGAAGAAGAAACCTACTTTCAATCCATCGCTCAGAACACCAGACACGACAGGTACCTCCTTATTCTTCACTTGCATCGTTAAGTCACGAAACGGGCTACACGCCGCTGCAAGCCAAAGTAACTCGTCAACGGGCAAGTGGTTGCGGACCTCGGCCAGGATCTGTGCACTTTTGAGGGAATTCCCACGCTCTGTCGAAGTCGTGGACACAAATATCGTTTGATGAAGGTCTAATTGGTGAATAAGCTCAATGGCACGTAAAGGGTCGTGTTTGAGCATCTTGGTTACTTCGATACCGACTCGCTCTTTGGAAACTTTGCTCTGAAGCTCCGCCTACCAATCAGCTTTGATAAGAGAGAAATCACTCACCTTGACTTCGGGATTTTGCATGGCTTCAGTCACTTGATCGTCAATAGCGAGGCTGAAACGGCTAGCGAAGCGGATACATCGAAGAACCCGCAGCGGATCATCCCGGAATGTCTGAAGAGGAGGCAGAGGTGTTCTCGCGATTCTGCTTGCTAGATCCGGAAGACCTTCGCCTGTAAAGTCTTCCACCTTACGGGAGTGTACGTTGTAAAATAAAGCATTGATCGTGAGATCTCGACGAAAGGCATCTTGAGTTGGTGTTCCTGGCTCCTGTCGTCAAAAGGTGGGCTGACGTTCTAAACTCACAATCTGAGGTATCCGGGAATCTGAATATGTTTCATTCCTAAGTCCAACGAAATCACATTCCATACCTAAAATACGAGTGGTGCCGGTTTCTAGATGTTTGCTCTGTTCAGGATTGGCTGCGACTCTACCCACAGAGCCGATTGCCACGCCATGAGAGGTCAGGTATGAGGCGAACTCTATAGCGAAAGTATAACCTGATGAGATGGTCAAGGCTATATCCAGATCTGAAGACGGGAGAGCGAGAAGCTAACATCAGCAGTGTAGACAGCATAGGAAGAATGGAGACCCACACACCTTGTCTCTCACCCAACCACCTGCGATCCTACATTCCACCGGTGGAACACGATGGGTGGAGAAGTCGTCGAGTAGCTCACAGAAATGAGCCTCGGTGGAGGTGAGGGATATGTTGTGTGAATTCGACATGAATGGTCTACTGAATATCCTCGTCAAAGATTGAGCTGAAGGGATCAACCTCATCAACGTGAAACCGACAAGGTGAGTAGAGCGGAAGAGAGTATATGTACAACTCTTGACTCGTGATTTCCATGACTTTAGAAGTAGGAAGCTTAACTTTTGGTCAACGCGGTGCCCCGCATTTCAACTCGGCACGGCTCACCTCTTCCTCCCCTCTCCCTACTCCAAGTGCCATCTTGGTTCGTTCACTCCTATCCTGGTCGTCATGGCCAACTACACCAACGACACTCTCGCTATAGCCTTGGACCGTATCAGATTTTATGCAAAGGACGCTTTTGTCTCTATATCACAAGTATGTCTTTCCCATCGTATCTCCCCTCTTCCCTCCATACGTCCGCCATCAGCTGACACCTGTAGTGCATCTGCAAACCGTGAATGTCTTTATCAACTCTTAGCACTACTGACCCGAACCAGTGATACCACACTCAAAATCAATGGTCGTTCTTATCATGTCGACAAACTCTTGGGCGAAGGCGGGTTTTCATTCGTTTACCTAATACATGATGTGGAATCAGGTCGAGCCTACGCCCTGAAAAAGATTTTGGTGACTTCTGGTCAAGAGGGTGTCAAAGCAGCAATGAAGGAAGTGGAAGCGTACAGAAGGTTCAGACATCCTAACATTATAAAAATTCTTGATTCTTCAATCGTACAAGATGAGAGTGGTCATGGTAAGATCATTTACTTGTGAGTTGTACATCAAAAAGTTTTGTTCTGATCACATAGATTTTTACCTTATTATCCTCGTGGAAATTTACAAGATTCTATGACCGTAGCTGTTAATACGGGCGATCGCATACCTGAAAAACGTTTGCTGGAATTATTTCATGGCACTTGTTTAGCGTGAGTTCATGTGATTATGTTTAAGCCGACTGACAATAGGGTACGAGCTATGCATCGATATCACTCACCGGTTGATTCTTCCACCTACCCTCCTACTCAAGGAGCCGACCCTTTGTCTGGTGAAAACGATCCATTATTTGACCGTGACGAGAGTGATCCTACCGTAGAGGGGGAATCAGTGCCATATGCCCATCGTGACATAAAACCAGGGTGGGGTTCTTCACATACTGTTTGGATATGAGCTTATTTTCTCAGTAATATCATGATAGCAGATGATGGTTCTCCAATCTTGATGGATTTTGGTTCTACTGTCAAGTCAGTGAGAAGTTCATAGCGCTGTACCTTATCTGACACTCAGAGCTCGAATCGATATTCGTACAAGACAACAAGCATTGCTGGAACAAGATGCGGCAAGTGAACAATCAACGATGCCGTATCGTGCTCCGGAACTATTCGATGTCAAAACTGGTAAGCGACTAGACGAAAAGGTAGATATATGGGTGAGTGTTCATTATTGCTGCTAAGTGGGCTAATGTTTTAGTCACTCGGATGTACACTCTTCGCTGTGGCTTATGGACATTCTCCATTCGAGGTCGAAGGACAATCAATCGCTATGGCCGTCGGGAGTGGACGATATCGACATCCTGGCGGATACTCCCCAAAGTTGATCGCCCTCATCGATTCCATGTTGATAGTGGACCCAGAAAAACGACCGGACATCGAAAAGGTGCATTTTGGTCTTTGAACAACGCTGACAATTTAAGGTTATTGCTCTTACCGAGGAAACACTCAAAAGCTATTAATCATGCATAACGTCGGACTCTCGAGTTGATCTGTGATGGCCAGCAAGTTTGTGACATTGGAAGATGTAAATGTCCAGGAAAGGGGATCTTGACGACGTTTGTCGCCATCAAAGGTCTTGGGATTGGGATTTGGGGGGAAGGAATGTGAAAGGGATCAAGCCTAGGTGTAAAGGGTCGTTGACGATATGTGGACGATTGCTGTACATACTGCATATTAAAAAAATGACAAAAGACAATTTTGTTTCGTTTACTCACGACGTTCCTCAATACAGCTTGTCGCATTGACTCTCGTCTGATCCATCCCTCTAAGACGCACATGTTGTGCAGTATCGGTAGAGAAAGGGAGGGTGGAGAGTGTTGGTTCTGCCCAGATGCTTGCCAAATCGGTGTCGGAGACATTCTCGTCTGTCTCGCGGATGGATTTGCGGGGGGAGGGGGAGGGGGAGGATGCCGATTGTTGAGGGATGGATGAGGATGTGATTTTGTCAAGAGAGTGATGTCGTATCGAGCTCGAGCTTGAGGGTCACGCAGGACCTCATGTGCTTCTTGATAGTTAGCAAGGTTTAACGCTGTGAAGATGAGTTGTGCAGCATGCAACACCTACTATTGAGTTCTTGAAAGAGTCGAGTCGCAGCAGGATTGTCGGGGTTTTTATCAGGATGACATTCAGCCGCTCGTCTCAAGTAAGCCTTTCGAACTGAATCGTCAGCCATAATCATTCATCGATTTCAGTCATTCGCTTACTTTGACTCGCATCGGCTGAAACGTCGACTTCAAGGAGATCATAGTAAGTCTCTACCTTGCTTGACATTTCAAGATAGACACATGGGAAGTTGATAATTCTTTGGTTTATTGGTACTAGCAAGATGAGATGTTAAAGGATGAGATGCATTCTGAATCAGAATTCCCCCCTGCCCCCCTATCGACCACGAGGCTTGATGGCCGGCTGATGGGACCTCATTCCCTTTCCCGGTCTACGCCGCTTCATCCTTCTGACCCCCAAATGAAATGTCTATCCGTGTCGTCCATATGCATGCGTTTGGGCTGCGAGGTCAAGCGAGTCACCTCCATCTCGAGCTATCGTAAATATGAGTTGACAATGTTGAACAGAGGAAAACCTACTTGTATGTTTTGTTTCTCCAGCTCTTCGATCTTCCGCATCGCAACCTCAGCCACATCTTGGAGATAGTCTACGTCCGGCGGAATCGGTACAGATGATCGTTGTCGCTCAGAAATAACAGGTACAGTTCTGACAAGTGAGAAAATGAATCACGAAAGAAAGTGCTTCTCACTCGATAGTACGAATCGGCGTTTCTCTCTGAACCTTGCGCAATACCAACAATTGTTGCTCCAGCTGGACTGGTTCAGCCGAGGTACCGTTTATAAACACTTGCTCACCTCGTAGCAACGTGCACGCCAATCATTCGCTTCATCCTGCGCTTTGCGATAAACCGCAATGTCTGCTTCCCTAACGAATCGGCATGGTCTTCGACTCATCTCAAACGACGAAAAGACTCACCATAATTTCTGTGCATCGACAAGTTGTTTCATGCGAGCCTCATAATCGGCTATACGCTGTATCTTCGGTGAACTCTCCGTGACTTGATTTTGCAATTTGAAGCGTCTAAACGTCAGACAATCTCAGCAGAATAAATATGCTCACTCGTTCTTAATCACCGCAAGCTCCTCTTTTTGTTTCTGAGCAACGACACGAACATCCGCCAGAGCACTACTCAATTGAGACACTTGCGTTTGCCATCCCCGCTTTTCATCACGAAGAGCCGCCACCTGATCACGAAGTCGTTCTTGCCATTTGGTATGTTTCTGATGAGCCATGGACGCTTCCATTTTTTGATGTGACAACTCTTCCGTGAGCGTTGAGATTGTCTTATCTTGCTCTTTGATATGATTGACCTACCATCAGTGACGGGTTAGGAAATGAGTGACAGACCTCACAAAGTTATGAACTTCCACTTCATCGCTGGTGAATCTCAGATTTGATTTGTGTAAACGACCGATATCTATAGTCAGTCGTGATGACTCACTTAACAGCTTAGACACTCACGAGACAGATACTGTTTTCTCAACCTTTCCGAATACAGAAGATCAAGTTTTAACTTTTGAGTATCCTGCTGGGAATCTTCCTTCCCTCCATGACCAAGTGTTGAGGTTGAGAGGTACTGAGAGTCCACAACTGGAGATTCATCGAACACATCCGATCGACTGGGATGCCTTGCTTCGGAATGAGCGACGAGATGACAAAGTGCCACAATTTGGGGGGTATCGTATGTTTCCCATCTCCGCTCATCCTCCCTCTCTTGCGCCAGGGTGAAGTACATGAGGTGCGGATGAACAGCAAAGTCGGACAAGATAACTTCACCTCTTTTGGCAAGGTATCGAGGAGGCCAGACATCTGCCCATTGGACCGCATATACTGACTTCACCCCCAAGCCCTCAAGATAGTCCACAGGATTTCGTAAAAAGGCTAGGACGTTGGACGGCCACAGGCCATACAGAATGACGAGCCATTGTCGGGCGATCCCCTCGCCTTCCGTTTTCGTCGCCGCAGGATCATCGCCAGCGAGTAGGTTAGGGGAAGATGCAATGTGCCATTCGACGTCCGGACTTGCGGTAGGCGCTGATATGATCGAAGGCTTGCCCGAGTGAGCCAGCTCCCCTGGCGGCCAACCATTCCAGCAAAGTATACGTCCTAATATCACCAAGAGGTTCGGGAGGTGACTGCTGAATTGGACAGGTGCGAGGGGAATGATAGAGAGGATAAGGGCGAGGCACGTGAGAACCGATCGGCAGTCTGTATCGAGCAGGAGGGAGCGTAGGATGAGAATGAGGAGGGGACTTTCTACGAGCTTGTTGAGAATTATGGAGTCTTTTGATTCGCCTGCCTCGTCACCGGGCGTCAAGATGAAATCTGTGATGAGGATAGCGATGGGTAGACGAGATTTTGGGTCTGCAAATCGCTCAGCACATAGGGTGAGGAAAACCTGACGGTCAGCGATTTCGCGACTGTGACGTACATCTATTTCCTGGGCACCCCAAGTAAGCAAGACCTTTCTCAATCTGATAGGCCTTTCGGGTTCGTCTACCCAGGCCTTGACCCATGAGCCCGGATCAAGTGTTCTGGCTTTCAAACCGGTCACCAAGTCGTCCACAGTCAAACCGTCATTCAAAGCCGCATCTCGCCGAGCCCAATCCAAGGCTTCGTCCTGCGATTGGATATTTAGTGGGGGAGTAACTATAGCCTCAAGCGTATCCAGGTTGTCGAGTGTCTGACCCGGCTCGGTCCCCATGGTTGTACGCTTCATTGGAAAGAGTGGGCCTGAAGAACCCATACTACTCGCTGTACAGGGGGTGTCAAGAGATTTCGGACTGGCGGTTGGTGCCGAGTAATGGCAGCTACGACCCCCCCCAATCATAACCTATTTTGTATATAAAAATAGAACGAGGGGGTGGGAAGATACATTAGATCCTTCTATACTATTTATATATCTGTATATATATAT